AATGTGTAGCACACAACCACGAATGACACACCTGAAATAAGAATCCATTAGTTTCTTAAGATTCACATTCAATCACATTACTTTAAACTTGTTGCTCAATGTGCATAAGACAAATTTCAAATAAATAATGACTCAAATAACTAATGACACATATAGATGCTAACTATGGACATTAAACTAGAAACCAACGTTATTTGTTGTCACATTTTCGTCCAAAAATCGTAGCAGGCCGTACGCTTATCCAAATTGGGAAAACAATATACCAAATAAAATTTCACAACTTTATCTACAATTGTGATGAAGATACCAACCCCCAATTACTAAGATAACACAGCAATAACAGCCCGAAAAGTTGAATACAGAAAACTGCCAGAATTGTTTTGGACAAACTTGTTTGCTGTCACAGTTTATTTGAAAAATCATAACAATTTGTAGAGTTATCCAAATCGACCAAATAATATACCAAATCAAACCTCACAACTCAATATAAAAAACATCAGAAGACACATAGCCTAAATTATTACTCCAACATAACAAAAATAGTTCCGTATGATGATTAGGCAAAACTGCCCTGTTTTTTGACAGATTCCACTACTAGAAATATTGGTATCAGTGACGATCGTGTATGGTCGCGGATCGTGAGAAGATGGTAGCTAAAACTTCTAGCGACCAAATTAAGCTTGGTCCACCGGTGGTCACAACAGGGTAGCTACTAAAAGTACTCAGTGACAAGAAAAGTAATTGGACGCTAAAAGATGAGATTTAGCGGCGAACTAATAATGGTCACTGAAAATATAATTATTAACGACCATTTTTTGACTCGCTAATGTAAATTTTATGGTGGCAATAATATTAACATGGTTGCTATAGCAACATATATAGTGGCCATATAATTTTGGTCGCTAAATGATATATATGTATAGTGACCATATTTTATTGTTGCTACAGGATATATATTTCGCCACCACATTTTTTGGTTGCTACATAATATACATATAATGACCATATTATTGGTTGCAATAATTTTTACATAATTTCGACAATTATTAAATTTACTGACCAATTCAGACCAATAATTAATTGGTTGCATTAATCATTAATGTTTATTTGCAACAGTAAAAAGAAAAATTAAAATAAAACTAAAGATTGCAAATTTACATATTATCAATCAAATGTGAATATTATAATTTCAATCTATCATACTAAATACAATAATAAATCAATCATTCCAAATAATAAGAAAGATGACTATAATTATTTCATAATAAATTCCACTTCATAAATTGTTAAGCGACAACAAATATGACTTCCACGATAACGTTCTTTCACTTCATCAAACAGTCCAACCTGAAAAAGGGAAAAAAAATCAATTAGAAAATAAGAAATCATATGATAGAATCAATTCCAATCATTTGTCACTTAGTAGCACTCAAAATTCAATAATGTATCTGCGCTCTTGCATAAGTAGCTATCAAATATTAGAATTAAATAAGTTATCGAATGTTAACATAATCGTTTACTATTCGGTTCTATTTCATATAAACATCCTAACTTAAATTTTATGCCATAACTGACAATCGAACATAATACACAATTTCTATGGCGTTCTATTTACCAAATACAACACACTCCAGGCATCAATTCACATGGTACGGAATTGACTCGTGTTTGTTTGACGAGTTCTCGAAACAAAGGTTTAAAACATTTGTTTCCACAATTTCTTTGAAAAATCATAACAATTGGTACGATTATCCAAATTGGGAAAGAAATATGCCAAATGAAAGCTAACAACCGCAACTACATGTTCACTGTAGACTCTGATCACAAATTATGATCCCAGCATATTCAAAACAGGCCCAAAAGATGATTACAGAAAACTGCCAGAATTTCGGATAAATTCTCTTTTCTGGTACAGTTTATTGTAAAATTCATAACTATTTGTAAAGTTATCCAAATTGACCAAAAAATATAGCAAATCAAAGCTGAAAACTTCATCTAAAAGTTTACTTAAGAAATATATCCCAAATTATTATCCTAAGACGGTAATAAAACCCAACAAAGATGCTTCATCAAAACTGCCCTGTTTTTGGCAGACTCACTGCCGTCAAATTCTCATCTCTAAAAGGCTATAAAACTTGCTCGAATTAGAAGCAATTTAACACTTACATATAATTATCACGGTCCTCGACGAGTTTTGTGAAGAGATTGATTCGAAAAGCTCACTCCAAACCCTTCGATTTCGGCTCCGAAAACAGGTGCGGCAGAAGGTTTACTATTTCTCAGAATTTCGCCAACATAGCTGTCGGGTTAAATTTGGTTATATAACTTGAAGAAATAACTAACAAAGTCTTTCTCAAATAACAAAGTCTTCTCACCTCGAGTTAGCACCAAAAGCAACATCATAGACCAAAATTTTCTTAGGTACACAACCACGAATGACACACCTGAAATAAGAATCCATTAGTTTCTTAAGATTCACATTCAATCACATTACTTTAAACTTGTTGCTCAATGTGCATAAGACAAATTTCAAATAAATAATGACTCAAATAACTAATGACACATATAGATGCTAACTATGGACATTAAACTAGAAACCAACGTTATTTGTTGTCACATTTTCGTCCAAAAATCGTAGCAGGCCGTACGCTTATCCAAATTGGGAAAACAATATACCAAATAAAATTTCACAACTTTATCTACAATTGTGATGAAGATACCAACCCCCAATTACTAAGATAACACAGCAATAACAGCCCGAAAAGTTGAATACAGAAAACTGCCAGAATTGTTTTGGACAAACTTGTTTGCTGTCACAGTTTATTTGAAAAATCATAACAATTTGTAGAGTTATCCAAATCGACCAAATAATATACCAAATCAAACCTCACAACTCAATATAAAAAACATCAGAAGACACATAGCCTAAATTATTACTCCAACATAACAAAAATAGTTCCGTATGATGATTAGGCAAAACTGCCCTGTTTTTTGACAGATTCGGTGCGTCTTATGTAGGGAATCAATCAAAGTCGTTCCACGCTCTGGATCTTGCATTGTATGTGGGATGACTGAAATGGAAGATTTCCAATCTTTCTTTTGTTATGGGTTATGCGATGAAGCTTTTATACAGGAACGATGTATTCCTACAAATCAGTGTTGGACCAATGGATCCACATGGAGGTGTGATTCATGTGATTGGTTATTTAATATTTGTATGTACCAACCCTTTGCAATTCAAGAGAATCTCAATATTGATGATGTTGAAGTGGTGGATAATTGCTCGATATGTTATTTTACAAAAATATTTACACGTTATGATATGCACAAACTGGTACGTTATTTATTATATATATTTTTCTTATTCAAAAGATGCGTTTTAATGTGATTATACTTTTATTAATAATTTTCATTTTAATTATGTTGTAGTACCTGCGCAAAACTTTCACCGAGACTGCTGGATTGGTTGCCAAGAAATATATTCATGTTGAATACGAAGAGGGTTCGTTGAATAAAATTAGTTTGTATGAAGCAAAAAATAAATCACACGGGGTATACCTCACAATTGGTTAGAATTCATTTTGTACATCGAATCATCTTATTATTGGCAACACATATTCGTTATCGTTCGACCCCATAAGAAATATAATAAAAGTTACGAACATAGAATAGTTTATTACATTTTGCAATTATGTTTGTTAGTTATTGTAATATTTTTATTTTCTATGTCTTCATATCTTTATGGAGTATCCTAAATATAAATATTTTGATTTGGGTGCGATAATATATATTTTTATTAATTTCTTGATACATCTATATATATTTGTTTTATGTTTATAGATTGTTCCAACTATATTTTATTAATTATTTATCATAACTTCAATGTAAATTGTCGTATACAATACGCAATTAATATTCTCGGGAAACA